TATATACACTTGTATTTTTTTTTCGCAGTACGCATAATTAATGCCACGAAAAAAAAGATTTAATTTTTTGTTCATAATACCGCCACCGCCGGTCGTTAGTTTGTAAACGATTTTTCCTACCTATATTTATTTTTTGTTAAATTGGTACGGGAAAACTTCAAAGGCACTTGAAATTAACGCCTTCGTCGCAGCCATATAATATATATGTGCATTATATATATTCAAAAAAAAAAAAACTGTACAAGAAACACGTTTATTCCGGGTATTATAATTACAAAAAAAAAATTATGTGCGTTTTCTTTTGACAAAATAATAATAATTAAGGATTCTAATTGAGCACTGATGGTAATGAGATTGTTCGAAACACAATGATATGCTCATAAAAATATTGATATAAGCGCTTAAACATTCTCTACAAAACTTGACAAAATAAGCATAAAATAACGCTAAAAACACCCTACGATAACAACAAAATAATAAATATACTACCTATGTAATCTTATCTTAGACGACCAATAGGATTACTTACACATTATTCCACAACAATAAATATGTCATATTATGATAAAATTCCAATTATCCCAATTTCAAAATTAAAATGGATTCCATTTTTTCTCAGAATTTTTTTGATTTTTCAAATTTGATGGGAAAACTGAGAAAATCGAAAAACTACCTCCTTAAAGTATCTCTCCAATTCCTTTCAGAAAAAATGTTAATTATGAAAATTGGAGCAAGATCTCTGGTAGAAAAGTTGTACACAGAACAAAAACAAAAAAAAAATAAACATATTTGTAAAACCATAAGCTTCTTCGGCCCATTCAGAATCTTAAATAAAACCCGTGATCCTTCGTTGTTTTGAATTTTTCGATAAGAGACGGTTTACTGTAATATGCTTGTATTATTATTATTATTTTTTTTTTTTTTTTGGATATCTGGGATTAATGTTTTTTTTATCTCATTTCAATCATCAACTTTGGAGGTGGTTGTTCTATTTGGTATACTCGTAGAGTTTATTTTTCGATTTTCATTGTACTTTTTAAACAATAAGAGAACAAATTTCGAAAAAACGGGTTCATTACTTACGCAATAACGGTATTTGTTTTGTTCAGTGAAAAATATTTGTAGAGACTTGAAGTTTTCATGGATTATTCATAAGTCATAATAATATTACGTTAGAACATTCTAACAGTGGTCAAAAGTTTTCGAAATATTATGGAGTTTTTAAGTTATTTATAGCTGTTTGAAATTTCCAAAAGTTCTTTTAAGTGGCTTCTAATATACAAATATCGAACATTCGTAATGTCAGCAGATTCAAAAAAAAACAAAATAAAAATATTATCCACTCCGTACTTTGCTCGTTTAATAATTGTTTTGCGCTCCAAATGGTTTATCGTTGCGTAGAAAACGTAGAAATATCGGTATTTTTTTTTTATAAAAGACTCAAATTTTTCAAATTTGTAATTTATAGCTATGCAATAAATTAACCGGTTGTATAACCATACTGACTTGACTGTACCGTTATCATTATTTTTATGGTACATGGTGGCATTGTTATTTGGGTCACGTAAATATAATGTAAGCGTTTATTCCCATATCTACCATCGTATCGTATAGACAGCGAAATTTATAGATAGCGCCATCATTTATAAAACTTAATTCGTACAGGTTACAGTAGTGAGTTTTTTTTTTTTTTTTATGTTTTGCTGTGTAATATAGCTGCGCAATATAATGCCGCGTCTACGGCCGGTTTCGAAATATTTGTTTACTTTTTTTTATTACAATATCGTATATTATTATTACGTGCAGTATTACTTGGTTTTACATCAAACCATTTTTCAGCAATATTTAAACTTGTCTGTGTATCTTTCGTGAAATTATTAAAAATCAAAAGTTTCCCGTGTGCAATGGCCAACAGTGTACATCACGAAAGAGTCACTATATGTATATAAATGAATCTAATTATACGAGTATTATCTTCTTAATTTTATAAATTAATTTTTCTACTTTATTATACTTTAATATTTTCAAAGTTACACAGTTTCATACTCTGGCGTAATTACGGGATTAGTCAAATCCAATAGTACAAACTTTTGAATCTTCTTAAGTTGAGAAGAATGCAATATACACCAAGAACAAAAAAGTGTAAATAAAATGTATACTAGTTACTTTTAGATAATGAGCAAGGCGAGGAATGTATTGGTTTTACAATGAGGGTTTTTAGTTTTTTTTTTAATCCGTAAATAATTTTTCTACTAGAAATCTGTCTCCAATTTTCAAGCGTAAAATATCTTCTGAGAAGAAATTTTATCTTAGTGCGGTACCTTTAGGAAGCTATTTTTTTAAATTTCCACTTCGTTTTATAATAGTTAAAAACTGAGAAAAAACGGAGAGAAACGGGGAATTTTATCAAGTTAATTATTTTTAATTTCGTTTTGATTCGGTAAAGTATATCTATAGAAACTTTAAATTACCTTTTTACCTTTACCTTTTTTAGACGTGGTCAAATTTTCAAAACATTTTAGCCATTTTTTAGCTATTTAAAGACATTTTAGTTTGTTGCAATTTTTACGTAATTTTAATTCGATAGATGGATAAAATTGTTAGACCAAACAGAAATTCTCGACAGCTTAACAGGAGATTCATTATAAGTCGTACTTTGTGGTAAAAAAAAAAAATAAAAAAATTGACTGTAATGTAGAATTTTGTATTTTATAAGAATATTAATATAAGATTTTGACGAATATTGCGTTCATTCAAAACACGTATAACAGAACTCTGCTCAAAATCGTTTTCCTTTAGCGATGATTAATCGTTGCGTACAGATATACATTCAGTTTCTCTTATACATTCCCAACTTCTCACTAACAACAGTGGCCCACCCATCGTTCAAAGTATGTCCATCATTCTTTAAACTACTTACAGTACCTTTTTATTAATGAACTTTTACGTACTTAATTTTATTCAACAATATACCTATGTACCTGCTATCTACAATTTGTTTTCAAACTATAAAAATAGTTGGCCTGTGTAAAAAAAACCCATTAGATATACCGTATACAATACCTATAATCCAAATATAATTAAATGGGGGGAAAGGTAGGAGTTTCAAGGTTTTTATTATGGTAGATAAATTACTTTGCATCCCTAGATTGTATCCTTTGTATTCATTTCTTTACTGGTTTCATATTTTTGGTTGAAATTCGAGTACCTTTAAATGTATACATCAAAATCGTTTAGAATAATATTTTTGAAACTTACGCGTTACTTCAACATTTAACTAACCATGTTTACCTTTGTCCAAATATAGAGACATTTTATTATAAATTTTAATATTACAGTTTCTGATTTTATAAAATCGAACTTCGCTCGAAATCGTTTTTCTTTGTCAATGGTTTATTGTTGGTTACAGGTATAAATTAAACAACTTTATGTATCCTACCTTTTCAACTACCAACTAACAACAGTGACCGCACCATTGCACCAGTCCCCAGTATCAGATCTTTATTTCTTTTTAAATCGAACAAATATCGTGAAATTCAACATTTTGCATTTGTACTTTTTTTTTTGATTTGTATAAATTATACCTAAAAATACGAATAATTAAACTTTTCAAATGAGTTTTTATAAAAATTAAAATATTTAATAATCATGTTTACGATATATATATATAAATATTTATATGCACATATGATTGTACGATTTCGATATTATTGTATTCTAAGTCTGAAATGTTTTATATAGGATCATATTATTTTCAATTTGTTTTACATATAGTGAACTAAAAACCACATTTCACAAATTATGAACGAACATTCTTGACGTATTTCACGGGATGGATATTCAATTTGTGAAAAGATTAATTACTTACAACGTTACTACCTATATTATATATATATATAGATATACCAAGATTAATTACTTAATGGTTACGATATGCATAAATACATAGGTAGAGTATAGTATTATTATAATAGAATAAATTACAGAAAACTAAACTATGAAATATTAATAAAATTATTTATGAAAATATTCGTGGAAAAAATACTGTGGATATAGAATCGTAAATTACCTGGTAAAAAAAAAAAAAAAAACGAAAAAATGTTTTCTAAATTTAATCTTGTTATTCATTTTTGATTTGGAAGTTACAGTTAGGTCAGTTAAACAGGATCTGATACTTATGTTATAATTTTACAATTTTAAAATGCTGTTATGTTGTTTGAAAATATATGTATAGAAAAAAAACCAACGTAGTTGCACATATAAAGTTTTCAATTTTAGTTGTATAACAACTGGGTAAATTAACTCTAATATTAAAACTAATACCACAAATCGGTATAAGTGTTCTGTAGCCTCTTAATACCAATAGTCCAGATTCAACGAAACTTTAAATTTTTATATAAGGTCACTCACAAATGCTGGATACCAACTTTCTAGAAAGTTAAAACTTAATTGAAAAATTACTTTTGTAAGTAATTATAAAAGTTTTCAGAAAAAACCACTGGTACCTATACATTTTAATTTTGGAAAGAATAGATTAACAAAATGAAAATAAAAATTAACTTTTTCAAAACTAATAACTATTATAGCTGTACAGCTGTACATGTTGTTAGTTTAAAAGAACAACTTCGAATCTGATAGTATATTTTAGGTTATTTACAATAGTGTTCAATAAGGTATAACACACTATATACGAAATATACTTTAAATATATTGACAAAAAATAACAGGGGACAAGGATAACTTTTAAGAACTTTCACTAACTAAAGATATCATAAACTAAAAAGTGATTTTTTTTAGCACGTTCATCCCATTTGTACAGTTAAATCATGAATAAGTTCAAATTATGATTTTTGGAATTTAAGTGCAGTTTAAGACCATTGATTTTCTCGTATACTTATAGGTTTTCCACAACACGTAGTGAGTATCCTATGGCGAAATTAATAATATATATGAACAACTTGAAGACATGGCGAATGGAGAATAATTCCAACCTCTTCAATATGGGAGATTTTAACGCAGCCATGGATTGTCAGGTCTCACAATATACTTGTCTAGGAAAGTTCGGTTATGAAATTAGGAATCCAAGAGAGGAAAGGCTAATTGGATTCTGTGAACAATATGAACTAAATATCTCCAATACAATATATAAAATTCTAAATCAAAGAAGATATACTTGGAAAGCACCAGGTGATATAAGAAGACTACAAATCGATTACATCCTAGTCAAAAAGAAATTTCGCAATCAAATAAAATCTAGTCATTCTTACCCCGGTTTTAAGATAGATAGTGACCATTCACTGGTTATGTCAAAGTGCAATATTAAATTTAAGAAAATAATTACTACTAGAAAAATGAATTGATGTTTAGAGAATTTCAAAGGTGCCGAAACATCAGAAAAATTTAGAAGAAAATTGGAAAAAAAAAAGAGGAAGCCATAAAACATGGGAAGAAATCAAATACAACATCAATTCAGAACGTTTAAAGATAATGGAATTGATTGTAAAAATAGAAGACTTATTTTAAAACTATATAAAGCTCCTACCAACAACTAAAGAAAACAGCAAAAGACAAACATACATAGCTAACTCGACAAGGCGATGCCTTTAGAACATGAATGAAAAACCATGGCGATATCAACTTCTTCAATTGAGTACCTTTATTTGTCGATGTGATTTATCAATCTAATTAGCTTTTTATGAGAAATGGAGACTGACTGTTTTATAGGAGCTGTGTATAGGCAATTTATTTTTACGTCTTGTGTGATCATTATCCTTTAGTGTTTAAAGTAGAATAACGTCCAACATTTTCAGAAAAATAGTCTGGTCGATAGTTTGCATTAAAACATGTAGGTTCTCATTTAAAAAACCAAAGTTGAGTATATAAAATTACATGATACTAGTGTTGTGAAAAATCTAAGGAGCTATTAAAAAATACGATATCGTAGATAGTCTTACACTACACTTGAAAATTCCAAAATCCAGAATTTGAATTAATACATAATTTAACCATACAAATTGAACGGGGAGTGCCTAAAAGTTTGCTTTGTTTATTTTCTCCCGGGTATACTGGTAAACTGGGTAAATTCACAAATAGTTTTTAAAAAAAAAATTTGTAATACATTAAGACTAAACCCTAATAATAACTAAAAAATGTTCAATTTTCTTACGTGTCCTTTTTTTTTTTTTTTTTTCATTTTTTTTTATTTAAGTAATATAATTTTTGTATAGTTCATAAATCTGTTTATCTATAAACAGTATAATAAATACCCCATGTTTTAGTCATCTACTCTGAACAATATTGACGGAACAACACCGACATAAGATATACGATTTTTAGCACACTATATTGTTCTATTTTAAATATTTTTTTTTTTTTTGCTCGTAGTCTTTTTGATCCACATGATCATATCTCCAATAATAATCCACTTAAAAATATAATACCTACATTTTACTCGAATATAATATTATACATAATACTTTTGTACTTTTTGAAATATTATCGTAATAAATCATAAACAAATCTATACGTGATGGTGATTTTTTTTATTTTTCATATAAATACGTTTTAATTTTTTTTTTTTACGCATTGCAATTTATTACGACATTTTTGAAGGCAAATAAAAATCGCGGAATAATTTCCATATAATCAGAAAGAAGTGATATTTTGTATAGTATATATAATATATTATCGTGTATCTGATACATACACGGAATAAAAATAACTAAACATTATAAATCAAATGTTTGACACGTTTAATGTTAAAAGTTGTTGTCGGTAAATTATACGCATTTAAAAAAAAAAAATAAAAAACAAAATTACACGTTAAAAAATATACATGTGCCGCCCACAGAAAAAAAAAAACCGAAACGAATCAGTATTGGTTCCTCGTATAATATTATATTCAATAAAAATCTTCATCCACGAATATACAAAGCGCGAACAATGTTTTTCGGGTCATTTGCTTGTTCACTGAACCTTGCGTTACTCTAAAAAAAACAAAACAAAACAAAAATGAAAACAAAATCCGATCCTTCCGTGCGATTCAAGCATGAATAAAAAACAAAAAAATGCAAAAAGACTATGTACGGTGAAAGAGGGACGGAGTGGCAAAAATAAAAATACTAAATCAACTGGAAACTGTTAGTAAATATAGCGTACATGTATGGTAAAACACACCGGAAAACTCGTAAACACAAACACGGGATCCGCAATTGAAATTCGAAAAATTAATATAATATTCCAAAATGCTATGCGTTTTCATAGTGTTTTTTGTTGAATTTTCTATGAAAATATAGGTAAATATTTGCACTATATTGCTCCTGTTATTTATATTTTCCCCGGTACTTTCGGACATATTTAGCGGTTCTTTCTGGATCAAATGAGCTCTCCTAAGGGAATTATTAGAGTCTTCGGTATATTGGTAGAATGAAGTGATAAAATTTGGGTTGACTATTTCAATATGAATTTAACCGTATTGTTGCGAGTATACGGTGTTTTTTTTATCTTTCATCGCCCCTACATACTCCAAAATGAAGATAGGACATTGCTATATTCTATATGTGGGACGTTAGTATCAAGAACGTATATTTTTGAGGTTGAAACATTTAACCTCCAGCAAAAATTTTTCTTTTTTTTTTCTTTCCGGATTTTAGTTTCTGGGTGAATACAACGACTTTTCGACCGGAAATCTCGCCCTTATTATCATCTATAGGAAGTGTTCTAGTATAAAATGTTTTCATAGTGTATATTTTGAGAAAGTCATACTGTAATCTTCCTTGTAGTTTTCTTAATAATGGGGATAAACAAAAAAACTGAAAAATAAGGATTTTTTTCGTAATTATAGTTTTCTCGTTATTTCGATTTTGATTATTTTGTTGTTTTAACAGTAAAAATTATTTTTTACACCTGAAATTCTAATCGGCTGTTGATTTTAATTTTTTATAGACATAACTTAACTTAATTATAGAAGTATACTGACGGTTTTTGAATAATTTATAGTTATTTAATATTTACGAGTTTTATTTGTTGTAAGTGCTTTAAGTTTTATTATTATTATATAACCACATTTTTTTGGTTTCTTATAAATGCTAAAAAATTACATATAAGTTGTTCTTTTGATAGAGATCAAATATCCGTTGTTACGTTTTTTTTTTTAGTTTTATAGTCGGTCCACATTTCACATTTATTGTTTTGTATTATTCTCAGTGTAGAGGAATTTACATTATTAATATGCATATTATGTTTAGGTACAGACATTGTTGTATAAGCATTAATTTACATTACGAGTATAACAAAAATATTTGTATCAAATTGTTAAAATTAATTTTAGATTTTTATTAATGTACTATGTATTGACAGGGGCAAATACAAGAGGAGAATCGGGGGGGAGTGACACCCCTCTAAAGTCCGCAACTGTAATTTTCAGTCGGTATAATATAGCTATTCATAAGACCTGTAATACCTATAGTTTTGATATTTTAGATTCTGACTATTGCGAAGAAACCTTTTACAAAGATGTTTATTTATTTTTTTTTTTTCTGTTGACAAATTTTGTTTCAGAGAACGTGCTCTGAGTATTATGTGTAGCATCTTGCCTAAAAGCTAATTAATGTGAGGAGGTACTTTAGAGAGGTCATTATTCGATTTTCTCAAGAGTTTTGTCATCAAATGCGAAAAATCGAAAAACAAACGGGAAAATATAAGAAATATAAGTAAACCTTCATTACACTACTAATATATTAGTTAAAATATATTACGGTTTTCTTTTTTTCTGTGCACAACTTTACTACCACTATCTTTGATCCAACTTATAAAAATAGCAATTTTTCTAAAGGAAATTTCAATAGGAACGTAGTTTAGAGAGGTCATTTTTTGATTTTTCCAAAAATTTTCTCAGCAAAATTGAAAAACCGGAGTAAAACATTCGAAAGCCGCGGAAAACGTAGGAAAACTGGGAAAATCGGAACAATATTAAACAAATGTTATTAAAGAAAATATATAAAACATATTTAATTATTGTACTATAAATTGACGCATATATTGTTGACAAAGTATATTCACTATCATCTAAACTCTGCTCAGAATCGTTTTTTTGTAAGCAATGGTTTATCGTTATTTACAGTTATACATTAAATTACCTATAACAGTGGCTGCACCCGTGCTCATTATCCTAGGAGTTCTTTTTATTAATACGTTTTTAATTGAATTAACTATTGTTGTAAAAGAACTTAAGCTGAAAAATCTGATAACAGTCGGCAGATATTTTAGTATAAAATACCAGTCGTCAAATTTGTTTCTTGGAAGTCGGTAAAATTTACTCCAAATCTAAACAAAATAAATCCTAAATTTGCCCCTTTGTTTGAAAATTGTATTCCTATAAATTCGTTTACTATTAAATAATACATTGCAACTACATTTTTAACACAAGTTAGGTTTAGGGCTATGATTTAAAATATAACTGTGTACATCAAATGTAAATATCTATCAAATAATTACTATTTAATTTTTCATTTACTTTTTATGGTATATTCTATACAAATCGTATATTTTGATTTTTGAAATCCGATCAGAAATAGAGAAATCTTATTGTTTTGTAAACTATAAATTGATTTTATTCACGCAGATAATACACATTCATTATATTAATAATAATTAACATTACTACTCGAGAACGTTAGTGTCCAGACTGGAAAGTTCATTCATAAATCTATTCTATCGGGTAATATATTGATATTGAACATGTGAGTGCCGGTACTGTAAACAAATTATTGTTGGCATGTCTACGAAAATATCTGTTGAATAATCCGTGAAAAATTACGCCATAAAATAGTTATTTTATAATAATATTTATAGAAAACATATTCTAAAATAATTTATTGATACCTATCCAATGTTTTTTAATTGTTTTGACTATAGAATTTTACCGCATTTCAATAAGACAATTCCCTATGCGTATAGTTTCATCGAAATCTGTGGAAAACATGGCGGGGAAATAGACATGGCGAAATTAGAAGGGCTCCGTGTTTTCTATTTCGGCTGCAGAACCAAAAAAGGCCATAAAACATTACTTATCGTTAAAAGCAGTAAAAGCATATAATATTATATAACAAGATTATGAATTTTGACACAAATAAAAAAATACGTAGGTATGTAATTTTCGTTATAAAACATAATTGATAATTTATAATAATTTACAACCAAATGAACAAAATAATATTATGAAGGAACATATTTTACGACTAAGTAATTTTAAATGAAAAATAGTTTTACGTATTATATTATAAATTACGATAATTATTATAATATTTTCCTTACAATAAGCTTAAGTTTGTAAGGTATATGTAATTAGGTTATGAGTAGAGAAATATATAGATAAGTTTAATTTAAACATCTACACAGTAATAAATCATTTTTAACGAAAAACTATTCTTAGTGAAGTTAAGTTGAAAACGTTTTGAACCGTGTGAACGAAGATTTTCACGATGGAAATTTGAATTTAATACGATTTAGAAAGCACTTAGCAA